AATGGGGGGAGAAGCAAAAACGGAAATCACTCTCCTCCCCAGCCACCTATCCTTACCAATCCAGGTGGTCCTGAGTCTGCTTTAAGGCCTGGAACTTCCTGGATTGCCAGGTATGTCCAACCTGAGGTCTGTGGGATGTGTGTAGCCCAGGATAACTCTGTACTTGACAAAACAAGATAGTAAATTTAAAGCATTGAAATTGTTTGGGGGGGGTCAATTTTTTGGTAATTTGAGTGGGTAGTTATTGAGCATGAACTTCACAGATGACCTCGTGTCACAGAGTCAAAAAGTTGGATGCACCTGACTAACAGTTATTTGAAGAGAATAAATGGGGAGAAATAAGAGAGGCATTGACCTTTCTTCAACCACCATCCCAGTTCCAGGCTGGGAACTGGAGACAAAGAACTGTATGAGGGACTGTAAAAAGAGCTGGTAGGGGGCAGAGCAGATAGATAAAGCCACTGACTAGGTTGGGAGTGGGGGAGGGAGGGCACAACAAGAGGACTCTGGGGTGCCACCAGCCAGCTTCTTGGGCGCTGGTGAGGTCTTCACTCCAGTGGGGAAAGCAACTAGGAGTCTAGTTTGTCTTTGTACATGTTGCCTCCCCTTAAAGTTGAGCATCTGAGTCTGAACCTTAGAATAAGGGTAGACCAGTTGGCCACATGAGTGACTCCCACAAAAACCTTTAGAACCTGGTTATGACCAGCCCTGGAGTGTGTTTCCAAGCAGCCTTCTTATTCTCCACTTGGGCCCTTTCATCTACCAGTGACAGCCAGTGTGGGCAGGCTGCAGCCCTGCCTGCTCAGTGACATGCCTGCTTGGGCCTGCTTTGAACAAAGGGCCCCAGGGGCAGGGCACACCACCCTGCCTGGGCAGCTGCCTACTCTGTCGCACCTCTCTATTGGGCCTACTGTCAAACCATGCCACCCAGAAGAACCACCTGGGCAAATCAATTCGTTCCACCACCTCAAGAAAAGCAAATCTGCCCTAAGTTAGGGACAGGGGATTTTATTCCTGTGCCCAGCAATGACCAACAAAATGCCACGGTGCTGGTTCAGCTTCAGGCCTGGACACAGCCTGCTGTTTAATTCCCCGGTTGGGCCTCCTTCCCTGTCGTGCCCCACAGCTCCGCCTTCTATGTCCTGGAAAGAGCCCCCAAGGCTTTGTGGGTGAAAACTGGGTCTCCTCCATTCACTAGCAGAAGAGCATGGCCCCGTGCATGCTGATGGATTGCAATCCCTGTGTCCTTTTTGCCCTAAAATAGATACATCCACAGAGGTCACCAAGGATGCCGAGAGACTCTGGGGCATAGTTACTCTGCGAGGCTGGTTCACAGGTTCTCAGGTGCCAGCAGCCACACACAGGGCACAGGAAGGAGATAAAAGAGGAGAGGCTGGGTTACAGTGACTCTGGGATGGCAAGACACCCACACGGAGATGTCAAGGAGGCAGTTGGCCACACACTCGGGTGCAGTTGCCACAGGCCTGGGCCTAGAGACTCCCATAAACTTTAAACACCTTGCAGGTGCAAGTAGCCATTTGTCATGGGGGTGCTGGAGTCAGGGCCTTCCCAGGTTAACATGTTAACATGGTCCTCTCCAATTTCAACACGAACTCCAACCTCAAAGCCTGCGTCCAGAAAACCATGGTCTATGACTTTGATAGAAGTTTCTGTCCTAAACACGGATCTATGGGATGAAGTGTGTTTGCCTCTTTCGTGATTTTTCTCTTTTATCTTTAAGCACAGAGTCTCATGTAGCCCAGACTATCCTCAAACTCAATATAGCCATGTATGATTTTGAAGTCCTGGTCCTCCTGCCTCCTCTTCCCAAATGCTGGGATTATAGGCCCTTGCCATGATGCCTGGTTTATGCAGCACTAGGGATCAAGCCCAGGGATTGATTCACGCATGCTAGGCAAGCACGCTATCAATTGAGCAACAGCGTGTCTTCAATCCTTAAGCTTGGTTAAGCTGTTCTGACCTGAAACCCTCACCCAGGATGCTAGGAAGGAATTCATCCTCTGCGCTTTCACCGCAAAGGTCTCATGATCCAACATGGCCCTGTGGGGACCTTCCCATTCAAAAGAACCTGCATCTCTCCTTGTCCCTCAGAATCCTTCTCTCCTCCAGATGCAACGCACCCCTTCACAAAAGCCAGACGCACCCTCTGAGCCAGGGCTGGGCTGCTTCTCTGCCCTGTGCTGACTCCTCAGTCTAGGATGTACCATGAGCACCCGCTCAGTCAGGGAGAAGGAAAAAGGAAGCACACTGTATTGATCGCTTTTTCTGTGACCAAATGCTGGAAGGAAGGAAGGAAGGAAGGAAGGAAGGAAGGAAGGAAGGAAGGAAGGAAGGAAGGAAGGAAGGAAGGAGAGAGGGAGGAAGGAGGGAAAGAGGGAGGGAGGGAGGAAGGAAGGGAGGAGGGGCTTACTTTGGCTCACAGTTTGGAGATGCAGTCTATACTATCAAGAAAGATATGGTAACAGGAGCTTGAGGCAGCTAGTCCCATGACATCTCCAGTCAGGAAAGATGAATGCCTGGTGCTCAGCTCACTGTCTCCTTTTCATGCAGTCTGGGACTCCAGCCCCACGGTGTGGCATCCACTCACAACTAGGGCGGGTCTTCCCACCTCAGTCAACTCAATCTAGAAACCCCCTGGGTCATGTTCAAAGTTTTAACGCCGAAGGGACTCTAGATCCCTTTCAAGCTGACAGCCAGTACTAACTATCACATAGCTTCACCATGAACAGCTCTGCCATGCCTAGAGTTGATTAATGGCCAGGCACTGTGTCTCGCCCTGGTTGTTCTGAGAACTCTTGAGGAATTATTGAGGATGACTTTTGCATAAAAGATAATGTCCTAAAAGACAGTCACACCTTGTCCCTCAGTGGCCCCACCCCAAAATAGAGCCAGGTATGCAGTGAGCAGGCAAAACAGACAGAGAAATGCTGTGCTGAGTAGTTTCATGTCAACTTGCTAAAAGCTGGAGTCATCAGAGAGGAGGGAGCTGAGAAAATGCCTCCGTAAGACTGGGCCGCAGGCAAGTTTGTGGGGCATTTTTAAATTAGTGATTGATATAGAAGAGCCCAGCTCATTGTGGGTGGGATTTATAAGTCCTGGGACTTACAAGAAAGCAGGCTTAGCAAGCCATAAGGAGCAAGCCAGTAAGCAGCACCCCTCCATAGCCTCTGCATCAGCTCCTGCCTCCAGGTTCCTGCCCTGTTTGAGTTCCTGTCCTGACTACCTTTAGTGATGAACAATGATGTGGAAGCAAAAGCCAAATGAAACCCTTCCTCCCCGAGTTGCTATTGGTCGTGGTGTTTCATCACAGCAACAGTAACCCTAAGTAGGATAAATACCATTTGCAAAACTCAACCCAGGGGCTGGAGCCATGGCTCAGCAAGTCAAGAAGCCTTCAAATTCTTGTAGACGATCAGAATTCAGTTACCCGCACTCGCATCAGGCTGCTTACAACTGCCTGTAACTCCAGGCTCCTGGCCTCTATAAGCTCTTGCACCCATGTATGCATACACACACACACACACACACACACACACACACACACACATTAATAAAAATTTTGGCTTTGTTTCAGCTTGGTTTGTTGTATGCTTGTTTTTGTTGTTGTTTTGTTGGGTTTGTTTGGTTGGTTTGGTTTGTTTATTTTTTTATTTTTATTTTTTGGAGACAGGGTTTCTCTATGTAGTTCTGGTGTCCTGGACTCACTCCGTAAACCAGGCTGGCCTCAAACTCACAGAGATCCACCTGCCTCTGCCTCCCCAAGTGTTGGAACTACAGGTGCGTGCCACTGCACCTGGCTGCTGTTTCTTTTTCAAAACAAGTTTTAATTATGTAGACCAGACTGCCCTGATACTTACAGAGATTCGCCTGCCTCTGGCTCTAGAGTGCTGGAATTAAAGGCACGCAGCTCAGCTTTTTTTTTTTTTTTTGGGGGGGGGGGGCAGGAGTCAGGTATGGTGGCCCATGCATTTAATCCCAGCACTCAGGCAGCAGAGGCAGGTGGATCTCTGTGAGTTCACGGCCAGCCTGGTCACCAAAGTAAGTCTAGGACAGCAGGGCTACACAGAGAAACTGTGTCTCAGAAAAAAAAAAAAAAAAAAAAAAAAGAAGAAGAAGAATTACTTAATCAGCAAATACATATAGCTTCAAGTCTGTGAGGAACAACCACACTTAGGAGGAGAAGAAGGCAGAGCCCGGGGCAGAGGAGCACAGGTGACGCTTGCAGGGGATTCTGAAAGCGCCTCAGACACCACTGTCCCTGTGCAGCTGAATGTGAGGACCTCAGACTCCGGCTCAAGGCTGGCCTGTGACTTGGTGCCATCTCCTCTTCTGAAATGCAGTCCTCGGGTCCGGGGACTGACAAGGGTGGAGGACAATATAAACTGTGGAAGGAGGCCTGGATCAGCAAAGAACATAGAGTAACATGTCTGTGTCATGTTACATGTGTGGGCAGCTCCCAGGTGTGGAAGGGCGGGGGTCAAGTGAACTGTGGAAAGAAGTTAAAGGGAGAGCATGGGATTGCCACGTTTAGTCTGTAACGCCCTGACCTGTGTCGGTATTGGTTTTTACCATGCAGGTCATTTCAGAACACTGCAAAGCATTTTGGGTGCTTTTGTGAGAAAACTCTCACCCTCAGCCTTGTGTTTCTCCTGAGTCTGAAGTCTGTCGTCTGCACGATTCTCCCAGGCCGGGTGTCCCAGGAGTAACTCTTAGCTTGAAGGGGACCTAGGAATGAATAAATGAAAGGCAGAATGGGTGAAGGGGGGGGGGGGGGCTTGGAAGAGCAAAGGCAGGAAGTGACGAAGGGGAGAGAGATCTCTCTACCATCTCCCTCACCAGCCTCAGGCAGGCTGCCGCCAGGGTGCTCTGTAGCTATGGAGGAGAAGGATCATTCAGCTCTGCTGCTGGTGGCAGCCAGAGGCATGTGCAAATACGACAGCTTTCCTTCTCAATGAATCCCTCCTTGTTTTCCTGTCTAGGTCCCCCCGGACGGCGTGGCAAGCCCGGACGAAGAGGCGACCCTGGTAAGTCCTGGCTTTTCTTAGTTCCCGACTAAGCAAGGGCTGAGGAACGCAACGTGGACCCTGGACCCAGATGGAGGTGCCAGCCACCTACTTCCTGGTCCTGGACCATATCTTTCTTCTTGAATGCCAGCCACTATCTCTGGGCCACCATGCCTCACATCACCTTTTCCTGGCTTCCTGGCATCCACAATTCCCAGACTAGACACTCAGCATCCCCCCTGAATCTGTCAGCCTTGCAAATGAAATTCTCTATCACCCAGTCTGAAACAGCTCCCCCTGTGAAAGCAGGGACCCTGCCATAGGACCTTCCACAGGACACAGTTCCCCTGCAGATTTCAACTCCTTCCCAGACCCTTCCTCTCCGACCTTCGGCAGACCCACCAGGCCAAGGCTTTCACCACCCTTCCCCACGAAAACCCACAGCCACCTCCCCCCCACCCCACTCCCGCCATCACCTTCATTTGCAGCCAAAATGAACTTACTCTGCAGAGTCCCTCATAGTTTGACCTCTGATCCCTAAGAGGCATCTACCCCTCTGCCTTGCTTTCCCATGTCTGTGACATCATCTTGGCCCAAGTTGCTAATGGCAACATGGCTACGGTAATTCATGTCGCTGTCTTCATCTTCCTTCTTTCTCTCCTTTTTCACTTCTCTCCTTCCCTTCTTTCCTTCCTCCCTCCCTTTTTTCTCACTTCCCCTTCCCTTCCTCCTTTCCTACTTTTTGTTTGTTTGTTTGTTTGTTTTTTGAGACAGAGTTTCTCTGTGTAGCCTTGGCTATCCTGGACTCACTTTGTAGACCAGGCTGGCCTCAATTTCACAGAGATCCACCTGCCTCTGCCTCCTGAGTGCTGGGATTACAGGCGTGCACCACCACACCCGGCTCCCTCCTTCCTTTTTTATTCAGCTATCAAGAAAAAAAAAAAATCAGGATCTAGAGAGATGGCTTTAATGGTTAAGCGCTTGCTGCTCTTACAAAGGACCTGAATTTGGTTCCCAAAACCTATACTGGGTGACTCACAACCACATGTCTCCAGCTTCAGGGGGTATAATGCCCTCTTCTGGCATCTGTGGGTACTGCATGCACATGTACATACATACCTTCACACACACACACACACACACACACACACAATTTTCTAAGTCCGTCTAAACACTGGTGTTTCCACATCCCTTTTGGTATTCTGGTATTCATTTGTACTGGCTTGAGCATACACGACACGAGCTATGGGTGGATGTTAATAATCTCAAATCAACTGAATGCGCTTCCGGCGACTATATACACATACATAAGAGAAACATTCAGAGCTGTGGGTGAGCCAGCTGACACATTTGCTGCCTAAGGACTGCAGAATTCTATTTTTCAGTGTGATAGATTGACTCCGGGTAGGCAACTGGAGTTCATTCTCCCTAGATGGCTGGTGCTGCTTTAAGAAAATGCTTCATGGTTAAATGTCCACAGAGCCGAAGATCCCGTGAGCATGCATAAATCTCGAGAGAGTATAGAATGGCTCACTGCTCACTGTCTTCATCTTTCTGGCACCTCACTGCTGGCCCCTCCCCAAGCCTGAGTATTTCTGTCTCCCCCCAACCCTGCCTGCCCCACTTGCACATCGCTGACCTCGACCTGTCAGCTTGAGTCCCACTTGCCTCGTCAATGAGTCTGCCCTTGGCCCTCACTTCCTCTCTCTCTCTCCCTGTAGCATCCCACGCTGCGGCCCTGGCTGCCCCGACACTGATGTGTCTCCCTCCCTGCCTCATGCTGCAGTGATTGAACACAGCATCCTGGCTCCTCCCCTCTCACGGCTCGGAGGCAACATCCAGCCGCTCTGCTCCCGATCCTGCCCTTCCCCACGCCAAGCCCCTCTCCATCTCTTCCACTTATCTCTGATCTCTCTCGCCTCCTCTGTCCCCATGACCACAACCTCCTACAGCTCTCCCCACCTACCCTGACTCCCACATGCAGCCTCACCATGGCTGTCCAGAGCCTTGTCACCTCTCTGTCTTCAATCCTCAAGTCCTCCCCTGCTCCAGATGTGTTTTTCTCTACCTGAGCTCTCACTGGGCGCTCAGCTTTCTCTATCCCCAAGAATAAAACTCAGGTAACTCCTCTAGGAAGCAGTCTGTAACCCCGTGGCCGAGGCCACACCCGCCTCCAGCTTCCAGCCTGTTAATACTTGGCCAGGGAAGACACGAACATCACTTACACAACACCACAGACAAGGCACAGTTGTGAGAAACCACAGGACCAGAGGGACCCACCACCAAGAAGACCGAAGGCTGGCCATGCCCAAGGAAAGCTAGCAAAGGTTCAATGAATGTTCCATCTTCTCCCAGGGGGCTGGGCTTAGGCTTCTATGCTTTTGCAGAAGCCCTGCCCCTAAGTTCCCAGAGTTCACTGGGCGCAAGCACGTTTCTTATTTTTCCCTGCTTGCCCAGACTCTTTGAAGCAGAAAGGGGTTTATGCTGAACTCTGGGACTAGCTCCATTCGTTCTCCCTCTGTGTGGTGGCACTCTGTGTCCTGCCTGGTGCTCGCCTCATCTTTCAGTTCTTGTTTTCTTCCTCTGTGACAGGTTTCCTTGCCTTTCACTGTGCACTCATTGACATCCTTTACGGAAGGAGATGAGAAACACTATCACCTTTTTAAGAACAAAAATATAATGTGCCTCAGTTCCCTCAAAAAAAACCTATTAGAGGGGTTGGAGAGATGGCTTGGTCAAGAAAACGCTCGCGGCCTAAGCCTGAGGAACCAAGCTCGATCCTCAGCACCCTCATAAAATGCCATGGTGGCCTGCAACCCTAACCCCGGTGCTGGAGAGACAGAGACAAGCACATAGATCCCTGAGGCTCTGAAGCATCAGTGGCATGACACACACCCAAACCACCGAAGAAACCCTGTTTCTAAAACACTCTGGATACTGACACTTGAACCTGACTTCTGCAGCCACATACACACACACGTGTGCACACACACACATATGAACGCATACACACGAAAACCAGACACAGATCTAAAAGAGACCTTTCTTAAAAGAAGGCATACTAATGGCCAGCGGCAGTTGGGTGGGGCGGGTACCTCCTCCCACCACTGGGGAGACTGAAGGAGCACGGTTCGCTCCAGGCCAACTTGGGCCAGGCCAGACTGTCTCAAAAGAAGAGGAAGGGGAGGGAGAGAAAAACTCAACAAAAGCAAAAACGGTCCAGCAGGGGGAAGTGTCTGCATCACTAGGCCTCGGGTGAATGCAAATCAGAACCATTAGATGAATCACCTCATCCAGCTGTTATCAGAAGGACTGAAGATAGCACATGCTGGTGAGGGAATCTCTGCCCACTGTCAGTGAAAGTACAACATGGGGTCTCCTCAAAGAGTTAGGGAACCCAACCTGTACCACCCGAGGTTAGGCGCAGAAGAAATGAGGTCCCCGTGGGGGAGGGACAACTGCACTCACTGTTCGTCACAGCGCTTTTCACAGCGGCTGTGACAAGGCACCCTAGAGTCTGTGCACAAATGGGGAAAGTAGAATCTAGTCAAGATACCGCGTGGAACAGTATTCATTCATGAGAGGGGACTGAATGCTGCCAGTTCGCGGAAAACAAGTGGAACTGAACCAGCGAGCCCCGAGCTAAGGAGAGACCCTGTCAAAGATAAACAAACAAATAAATAAAAAAAATATGTAAAGAATGACCCCCAAGGTTGACCACTGACCTCGCACACCTGCAGCTCTGTACTGCGTCCTTCAGAGCCCTTCATTCCACGTGATCCCCAGCGTACTGCAGGATGAGAATATGCTCTTCCCCCACTCTGCAGAACAGAAAGCAAGGATGCAAGGGAAACACTGTCTTGTCTAAGGTCACCCACTAGCCAAGGCACACTCCCTCCCTGCATCCCTTCTGTGAGCTGTTCTGTTTCTCCCTGTCAGAGCCAGAGAGAACCACACAAAGCAGATGGCCCCCTCTGGTTGACTTCGGATGGGCCTGGTGTTTATTTCTAGATAGTTTCACATACCCTGGCATTGTCACCCTCTGTTACATAAGGCAGGCCTTTTCCTGTGCGTCTGGGAGAAAGGCTCTCTTTTGGAGTGCTGGGACAGGATCTGTTATCCTACCACAGACACGCCCTGCCATCCATGGGACCAGTTCCTTAGTCTCTCCCCATGGAAGGCTTGCCCTGGACAGCATCCTCACGGCCCTCTCATGTTTCTAGATCCATCCGGCCCAAGCAGAATGGAGGTCTCACCTACTCCTAGCTAGTTTGCCACTGGGAAGGGAGCAGAGCAATGTCTGGTGTCCTTGCCTGGGCCATCCTCTGTCCCCAGGCGAGCCCGTGTGACACTAAATTCCAGAGAGGACATTTTCTACCTGGCGTTTCCACCCTAGCCAAAAGGCTGGAGGCCTCTCTGCAGCACCATTTAAATATGAGTGTCTTCGCTCTGTGGTTCAGTCATGCTCAGGGCCGTTGGTTCTTCAACGTGAAATAATAGCACAGTGGAAAACTGACAGCTGTTCTTCTTTTCCCTGGGGCCTATGTGCATCTGTGTGCTTGTGTGTGTATGTGTGTGTGTCACACACACATTTGCGTGCACGTGAAAGAGAATGTGCTATAATTCCAACCTCTGCTTGTGTCTTGCCTGTGCTAGGGCCATTCTGGTTGCTTCATGTGGATGTGCGCACACACACATACACACACACGGAGAGAAAGAGAGAGCATTTTCTTCAGTCCTCCCCACCATCCAGAAAGACAAACATGGACACTTGCCACATTCCCAGACACAAACTCCTATCCCACCTCCCCCTCATCAGCTCACACTGCCTCTGGTTTTACCTCAGCCTTGCTCCATCTATACACAAGCTCAGTTTAAAAGCCCTTGGGGACACGCTATTCCCTAGAGAGTCCTGAGAACCACAGCAGAAGGTTCTTAAGCTCATGCGGGGAAGGGGTTGGGTTCTGAGGGTAGATCCTGGTGGTGGCATTATACTTGAGCTAGCTAAGTGGGTAAGTGAGCCTGTTCAAACTAGGGAGAGCAGATCGCAGGCAGATAAGAAGCAGAGTCTCGGACATCAGTAACAGTTGTGGGGCTGGGAACAGGGACAGTGACTCTAGCATCCTCAGGCCACAGAACAAGCCAACACCTCCACTGTGTGGGCCATGCCCCACCAGGCTAGCAGAAATACTCAGCAGGAAGATCAAACGTACCTTTGGGGCACACTGAGGAAATGCCCAACCTTGAAGGAGCCAAGAGCTCCAGATGGACGGGTCCCCAGACCCACCACCCACCTGTCAGCACAGAGCTGGCAGCTCACCCACCCAGGCAGCCCGTCTCTCCCACCCCCCAAGGTGTGGATGAGCATGGCTCCCAGATTGGGAAGCCCTGGCAAGGCACAGCCATTCTGTAGACAGTCCTGAGAATTACCAAAGCCTCTACTTCCTCAGGCTAAGTCATCTGGCTCTCATTTAATTGCTCCCACATTCTGGGGCTTAGAACATGTGTTTGAAAGCTGTGTGCCCAAGGGTCAGAGAGCAAAGCACATGGTGGAGTCAGGCTCAAGGGGGGGGCGCCATGTGGTCAGTCGGAGCGGGGGGGGGGACACCTGAAGCAGCCTCACTTCCTAAGCAGGGACCCCTGGAGAGCCTAAGCGACGCCCCCTCCCCCCGAAGCATCTCTCTTTAGTTACCCACTTGCTACAGATTATAGCATCTGCCTGTCCAGCAGCCGTGCCAGCCCAGTAAACTGTGTCACAAAGTCACGTGCAAAGGGTTTAGCAGAGGTGCTGGCCGACAGGCGGCTCCTGCCCTGCTTGCCCTTGTCTCTTTAGTGCCTGTTTAAGTGTGTGTGACTGCCAGAGCCTGAGCTAGGCATCAGGGTAGCTGTCGGACATCAGTCACTCCGGAGTGGGGAAGCTGACCTTAGTTGGAGTAGGTCAGTTCCTCCGGTAACTCGAGGGGTATAGACAGGAGGATAGACCCTCCACCCCTGGAGAAAAGCACACGGACAGGTGGAGGCAGCCATGTTCATCTGGTCTCAAGAAGGTAATGAAGGTGATTAGTGATTAGACAGTAATTCCTGTCTCTTCCCCTGGGAGACAAGAAGCAAGGGCCATAACTGTAAGTTCAGAGTCTATGCTGTCCACACCCTGCTTGGCCCCAGTCGAGACTCAGGGAAGACACGGCCTCTGTATTCCCAATGGCAGGAGTATTAATACATCCTCTTCCCAGGTGAAAATCCTGACCATCTCTCCTGCCTTTATGAATATCCTCTCCCACCATCCCTTCAGTCAGAAAGTCTCCTTGCCAAGCATCTCCGGATCCTCACCTCTTCCTACTGCTGCCGCTGGGGCCGGCCAGGGATAGTGCACCCCAGCGCCTGCCCTGGCCCCTCTTAGCAGCCTTCATCTCTCTTGAATCCTTCAGCCACCCACACACACTGCCCATAGCATCCAGCCCTCCACTCTCTGTAATGTGGAGACAGACCTTGCGTCCCCTGCTCTACTTCCACCTTGGAAAAGCCGGAGACTCGTTCCATCTCTGCTTCTCTCCATCCTGCCCCTGCTTTGCTGATAATTCACTTTCTCTCCCTCACCCCCGCCCATCCAGGCCCAGCTGAGCCCCCTTCCTGAGCAGGCCAGCCCAGCACACACACACACACACACACACACACACACACACTCCATCCTTGGAGCTTCCTGTGCCTATCCGGAGTCCTGTTTTGGTTTTTGTTCTGGTTTTGGTTCCTAATTACACTCTGCTAGGCAGGGCTCTTCACACTTGTCCTCACCACTGGGCCCCTTCCTCGCCCACAAGGCTCCCAGATCACTGTTGGCCATGCAGACATACTCCTTCTTCCAGTGACTGCCAAGAGCTGCCTGTGTGCACATCCTCACCCCGCAGGGTGGGCTCCGAGGTGCAATGGGCGCGGAGGAGTTACCTGTTTGGTGGAAGCATGCACTTGTGGGAGAGGCACGTTGCCTTGGGACGCTGACAGCTCATCTTCCAGGACGCCCTGCCCCTTAACTGACTCTAGCCACCCTTCGGCATCCGTGGGGAGCCACCAGGGCCCAAGTCCCTTGTGTAAAATGACCGTACTTGCCTATAACCTACACACACATCCTCCTCACAGATTTATTAAATCATCCCTAAGTGCCTAATGCAATGTAAATGATATGCAAATTGTTGTCATACTTAGAAAATAATGACAACGGCATGTTCAATGAAGGCACAATTTTTTTTCAAGTTGTGTGTGTGTGTGTGTGTGTGTGCATGAGTGTAGGTGTGCAGATGTGTGTATGTGCATATGTGTTCACAAGCCAGTGTCACCATACATTATCTTCTGTAGGCAAGCCTTACCGGAGCCCCTGCCCCAATTAGCACCTAAATAATCTTACGGTTGGGGGTCACCCCCACATGAGGGACTGTATGAAAGGGTGGCAGCATGAGGAAGGTTGAGAACCACCACCCTGTACTGTTCCTTCAGTCCCCTTGTGAACACCACCCCCAGCGCTGGGCAGTGGTGACACCCTCCTCTGTCCAACCATAGGTATGGAAAGCCTTCACCCCGGTCCTTCCTTATACCCAAAATGGTCTCTCCTCTTCATCACTCTCCTCCCGAAATCCCGCTCACTGGAAAAGCAAGATCTAAATCACAGTTGGCTTTCCAGAACGTAACACAACCAGCCTCACAAAATGAACACCTAAAGCCCAGGCATCTGGGAACAAGCATTGCCTCCCACGTGACAACCCAGGTCCCTCCAAGGACAAAAGGATCTCATCTTGGTTCTGTGGCTGACCCTTGCCTACAGGACCACTGTGGGCAACACTGCAACCACGCTGAAGCCTGGGGTGATGAGGTGGGGGTGGCCAGGGCTGTGCTGAGGACAGGGAGGGACCCTCGGTGTTGACGGTGCCTTTTCTGCTTGTGTTTTGCAGGCCCTCCTGTAAGTGTCTCGGACTCTGTGCTGTGCTGTGCTCCCGAAAGATAAGACATTTGTTTGGTTCTCTATGAAATCAGCTTTCTCGCATGAAATCAGCTTTTGGTTAGAGACATGTGTGCTTTAAGAGCAAAGAAAAAGGTCAGGGATGTGGCTTAGCTGGTAGAGTGCCTTTCCTGGGGTGTACTAGCCCTGGGTTTGACCCCCAGGACCACATAAAAACCCTGTGTGTCAATATGCACCCATCATCCCAGTGTTTGGGAAGGGAAGGCCGCTGATGGTTTTACTTTTTTTTTTTTTTTTTTTTTTTAATCTCACATGCTTTGGCAAAAGGCATCGAACAGTTGGGCTTGAACACTGGATCCCGAAGTTCATTTTTCTTCCCAGCCAGCATGTCTTGCTCCCAGCTGGGACTCTGTGAGCCTGGCCGGCTGGCGGAGGTGTTGAGGCGGCACCAGAAGTTAAAAATGTCACTGCATTTAAGAGGGCGTGAGGGGAAGCTCAGAGAGGCTCCCGCCTTGGCCACACAGGGGCCACTTTGACGGCAGCGCCTCAGTGGGCCAGGGAATCCTGCTTTCTCTGGGTTATGGATGTGTCTGAAAATCCTCTTGGCGGATTTTCAGGGCCAGATAAATCCCCGTGCGTCCATTCAGGTGGCACATGGACAGTCTACTGAGGCCAAAATTAACCTTCCAAAGGAATGCTTTTCAGATGAGCCGTTTTGCTTCTGACTTCTACTTCCCACAATTCACCCCAACCTCTCCTCCTCTCCCCCCACGCCTCCCCATTAGCACCCTTCAGAATCTGGGCTTCTCTGCCTGTAGCATCAGTCTGAGCCAAAGAGAGGGGCAGGCCAACAAAAATGTGGAGGCTTTTGGCCACAAGTGAACTTCCTGGTAGAGTGTTCCCTGAGGCCCCTTGGAGGCAGCTTGTGCAAACTTGTAGAAATGCAAAACGCACAGCCTAAGTCGTGTGGTTTTTGTTCTGGCTCCATTGTTAAAATAGTAAACGGGTTAAACGATCTCTACTGCAAGAGAAAGCCCATGTGTGGGACACTGTCAGGTGTCAGCGGCCTTGATCAGGCCTGACATGAGCCGGGGTGCAGAGAAACAGCCAGTAGCTGTGCCTGCCCCCCCATATTCTAGCTTCCAGAACTTTCTCAGTTCAGTCTGCCCCGGCAGAAGCAAGGATGAATGGAGCGCCCCCTGCAGCTCCCGTGTAAAGGGCGTTTTCAGCCCCTGCTTCGGTCCTAGTGGTTGTGACACTTCCATCCCTATATGACCACCTGTTCTCTGTCTTATGCCAGGACTGACATCGGGGTGACACATGTGGGTGCGGCGCCTTGACGGCCCTGATGAAGGCCCATAGTCACTCCCCCATGGTCTCTGACGGGAGAAGGTGGCTGTCTATCCGACCCACCAGAGCCCTGGCACACACCACCCCCCAAACCAGCACACTATAGCCAGCAGTGTTAGGACCCTACAAACCAGGCATAGAAGAGCAGGGGTGGGTGGGTGTGGCCAGACAGACTCATAAGCATTGCGGTATGGTTTTCTGCCAAAACTCTGATTATTAATGGCTTATTAATCACCACAGGGGCAATCAGGACGAGATGGCTACCCGGTAATTTGACAATTTTTTGTTGTTGTTGTTCTCTCTCTGCCTTCTTCTCTTAATTCGACATTCTCCTCCTGAACCTTGACTGAACTGCCTCACTCGATCTTACTTCTGAGCTCCTCAGTAGCTAAGCTCTTTCTTTCCCTGGAAGGATCGGGGTACGCTCTAGGCAGACCCCAGTCTCGCAGCCTTCCCAGGCAAAGCAAAGAGGCAAAAAAAAAACAGCTTTCCTTCCAGCCTAGCATATCTGCTGAGCCTCGAGGCTGGCCCTGGGTAGGACTCATCCTCCTGGAAGATGCTACTGTGCCTCTTCCTAGTGGCGGGACTCCCTGTTATCTTACCACTCAGAATCAGGGTGCTGGTTAGTTCCGGCGTGACCTTAATGGTAGGAGTACCTCAAAAGACAAATTAGCTTATATTTGGGGTTGATGTCCCTTCCCAGGCCAAATGAGTACCATATCAAAGACAAGGAGTTGGGTCACCCTGCTGCCAACTGGGCCTTGACAAGATGAAGGAAGACAGTAGCTTCCAGAAGTACTGATGCCCTGGAACAAGCAGGGTCCAAGCCAGGTGACATGAGACACGGTTGAGGCAGGAGGACTACCATGAGTTTGAGGCCAGCCTGATCTACATAGGAAGATTTTTGCCTCATCAAAAAAAAGGGTGGGGGTGGAATAGGAATCAGAAATTGGTGAAGCCTGCAGGACAGAGCTTGGGGTGTCTTTCAGATGCAAGGGTTATTTCATGCTTTCAGGTAGGAGAATGCAAAAAGGGAAATTCCTACTGGTTCAGAGATCTGTCCAGACTCAGGACTGGCTGGCAACGGCGATGTGGTTCCCAGTCCTTAGGGGCATTCCTCCCAGGAAGCTGAGGAGAGCAGGGCAGCACTGAGTATCAGGAGACATGGGCTGGATTCCAAACCTATGGCTTCACAGCTTGGTGAGCCCGAGGAAGGCACACACCGTCTCAGATCCTTAATGTCCTGCTCTGTGAATGAGATAACTAAGGCTTCACACACATTGTGTGATGTCAAGGGTCTTCAGGAACCGCCCCACACACCCCCGCCCAGTGAGGATCACAGAGCAGAGATGTCACTGCAGCTGGCTGCCTCGGTCAACTGTGTGTGAGAGCATCTTAACACGCAGCACATGCATTGCAAAAGTCATAAAGGGAACTTTCAAACACTGAGCCTCTCTGCACATGCAAGGCCCAAAGGAGGGCGGGAAGTTTCCGCTGTTTGCTGTGAGCAGACCCTAACCCAGGAGCCTTCTCCACTGGCTCCAGCAGAGCCATTGGCTGGTAATGGAAGTCATTTTTTTTTTCTGTCTAAGGTGCGGAGACTCACTCTAAACAGCTGCCAGGAGGTCCATGCCCTGCAAAGGCCTCTTCTCTCTCTCTCTCTGAGCCTCTCACCCCTGCTTTCTTCCCAGCTCTAGGGCAGAGGAGGGGATGGCAGGAGGCTGGGCATTAGGTTAAGCTGCAAATTTGAATCCCTCTCTGCCACTGGCTGGCTGGGCCTCCTGGAGTAGGAAACCCCGCCCCCAAGTGTCCCTAAACCTCAGGCTCCTTCCTGCCGGTAGAGATTGTCACAAGTCCTTTCCTTAGAGATCTGGGGTTCTGGTAAACGGAGATATACAAGGAACACCCATGACATGCAGGTCACAGCAAACCAATGTCATCTGATGGGGCTTTCAAAGAGACTTCGGGGACTAAATGTGAAATGTAGCATGTGACACATGTCTAGCTCCAAGCTTGGCCCACAGAGGGGATCTGTGGATTCTGGAATGGGGGCAGGACTCTCAAGGGTACCTGTGTCTTGAATCGAGTAATTCTCTAGGAAGGAAGTCAGTGAAGGCCCAGCAGGCAGGCCTGAAGCAACCACCCCCAAGTTCTCAAAACTGTTCCTCAGGTCACTGAGACAAGCTAGGTCCAGTGAGAGATGTAGGGACCCACCAAACCCTCTAGAAAGCTGACGTCACAGCCCAGGGTCACCTTTTGCCAGTTGTTTCTATATTTTGCCACATGAGCTAGCCTGCTGCTGAACTCAGGCCATTCCTGTCACCAATGCCAAGAGCAAGACTGCTCTACCAGCTGTATGCCCTTAGCACTTGGTGATGGTCCTGGATCTGGCCCTGCCACATGGGCTGACCTTTTCCTGAGACCTAGATGAGGAGGGGGGATCCCTGCTGCCAGAGAGAAAGCTGTCCCAGCCAGGGAGAGGCTCGTCGGCGTGGCCTACTTTGAGTTCAATTCCAGTCTCTCGGCCTTTAGAAACAGAAACCCTTCAGCCTGGCCCTCGGCCTACGGTCAGTTACCAATGAGTTACCAAACTCAGGCTCCCACCGGGTCAGCGCAATTGCCAATGTTATGCGTTATACACATGTTTAGGATAGATCACTATACTTATCTCTCTGAGTCAGGGTTTCTCACTGAACATAGAGCTCGTTGCTATTTTGGCTGGACTATCTGGCTGGGGAAACTCCAGGAATCTGCTTGTCCCTTCCCCTCCATCCTCCAGGCCCACAGTGATGGCGTCATAAGTGCATTGTATCTGGCTTTTACCTGAGTGTCACAGATCCGAACTCAGGTCTTCATGCTTGCCCAGCAAGGACTTTTCCTACCGAGCTACCTTCAAAGCCCACCGAGATTAAACTTTTAGGATGAGGATAGCGCTTGGTTGGCAGAGTGCTCACACAGAAGGCCTAGAGCTCTCGGTTCAATACCCACACCCCACAACCTTGGAGTGCTGGTGTGCTAGAATACCAACACTTGGGAAGTGGAAGCAGGAGGATCAGAAGTTCAAGGTCATATTTAGCTACATTCCTGAGGTTGAGGTCAGCCTGGGCCACGAGAAACCCTGTCTCAAAAATAAACGAACAGGATCTGAAGAGGCGGCTCAGCAGTTAAGAGCGCTTGTGGGTTTCCAGCACACACGTGGGGGCTCACAGCCACGTAATTCCCATTGCAGGGGACTCAGTGCCCTCTTCTGACCTCCACACACATCAGGCACCCGTACATACATGCAGACAAAAGTCATAAACTTAAACTAAAACAAATCTAAAAAAACAACTTAAATACATAAATGTTTTATAGGATGGAAAAGAAGGGCCAGGGAGATGGCTCAGGGAGTAAAGGCGCTTGCTGCGCAAAGCCGAATGCCCGCATCCAGGTCTCAGAATCCACGGAAAAGGTGGGATAAAAGAGCCAACCCCACAGAGCTGGAATACATACCAAGCACATACACACCGTGGCATACATGCCTACCCATATACGCGCATGGATGCGCACAAAAATAACTAGATACATAAATAAATAATTTAGATGTAATAAAAAATGTAATGGAGAAGTAAGCAAGGAAACCCCTCTAAATGCACAGCACGCACCCAAGCGTTTGGATAGGAACCCAGTGTCGACTGATCGGTTTTAGGAACAGCTGTTGTGCCGCTGGGTTTTAGTGTTGGCAAACTCCAGGACCAGGGAGGGTTTTCCTTTTCCCACTGAATTAGAATCTCAGCAGTTCCTGTGGGGGGGGGGGGGGGAAAAGGCAAAAAAAGGGGGAGGAAGGGGGCGTGGGGGGGGCCCCGGCCCATGCTTTCTACATTCACTCTGTCTATCCCTGCCCATCCCCACCCCCCAGCCTAAAACCAGGTCCATATGTGTAGCCAGTAGGAGTGGCTAAGGGACAGGGGGCAGCAGGGGCCACCCACATCTGTGAGGCAGGTTATGGACTCAAGGGGGTCAGGGCTGACAGGGCTCCGGGGTCACTGTCTCTACGCCCTTCCAGAACAGAGGCTGCCTGTCTTCTGTGCCCCCAAGGGCTTGTTAACAGAACCTTATGGTTGCAATAAATGCATGTCATGTCCATTGTAAAACATTTGGAAAATAGAGAAAGGCACCCAAAAAAAAAAAAAAAGGAAAAGCAATCGTCCTTCACCCTACCACCCACAGACAGTAAATCTCACTATTTTCATTTGTTCTTCTCGCATTTTTATATGCGGCTCTATTCCCATACTTCCATTATAAAAACAAGGCTACAGGGACAAGCTCCTCTCTTTCACTTGGTATATCATGAGACACTCCCAACTCACTAAAAACTGTTACGGTACGTCGTGACTACATACGGGATCTGACTGCATATGTCATCTTGTTTAGCCTATCTCTAAGCTGTAGTTATTTATACGGACAACTTTTCATCCTTCCGTCAACATCCTGGGAGTAAGTGAAGGCTTATTTCTATGATTATCTCCATACAATAAACGTCTATAAGTCCAATTGTGCACCAAAGGGTTTGCACATGTTTAATGCTTTTGATGTACATTGCCAAATTGCCCTCTGGGAGGCCGCACTCATTTACATTCCCACCAACAGAGCACGAATACCGCTCCCATGTTTCCCCATACTCCAGCCAACTGTGGGTATCATCATACTTTTAATTTATTTCAATATGATAACTTTTTAAATACATGCCTACGTTATGTGTCTTGTTCTAATTTAGGGTGTATTTTGATTAGAAGTAGTCCTTTCTCTTTCTTCCTTTTTTTTTTGTTTTGTTTTGTTTTGTTTTGTTTTGTTTTGTTTTGTTTTGTTTTTCAAGACAGGATTTTACTGTGTAGCCTGGCTGTCCTGAAAGTCACTCTCTAGACCAGGCTGGTCTTGAACTCACAGGGATCCTCCTGCCTCTGCCTCTCTAGTGCTGGAGGAAATCTTAGGAGACCTGACCTGTTGGTTAAAGTTTGTGTTGGCCTGACACCTAGTGGTGAAAACTGAAATTGCAGGTATAGAGCTTGAAACTCTATATCTATACCTATACTCTAAACTATACTGGAGCAGCCAGGAAGAAGTGCTGGTCGGCAAAGGAAGGGCAGTTCTGAGCATTGAGCTTTGTGGATCAACGAAGAAGGCTGCAAAGGAGCCCCAGGCTTGGCATTCCAGGATTCCAGGGAATTAATCAGCTTTTGTGTTAAAGTGGATCGGGCGTTTCATATGCTATCATGCCTTGTGCTACA